ATGGGGTGAGCCCCCCGGCCGCTGTCTCTAAGGGGAGGTGCACGCTGGCACACACAATCGCAAGGCTCCCTTTCCCATGGGACCTCGTTATTATGCTTTGCTTTTTGATTTATTCCACATGCCCTCTGCTCCTTCAAGGGGCGGCAGGGAGAGGGGGGGCGACGGGGTCTGCTCTCTTGTTTGCTTTCTTTGCCGGGTAAGTTCTGCTCACCCACAGCAAAAGGCTGTGCGAGAGAAGCATAAAAGCAAAAGTGGGCATATATATACACACACATGGAAAATTTAAATTCTTTCTCTGACCAGCCAGCGCGATGGGAGAAAAAAGAAAAAGCACAAAAAGTCCAAGCAAGCAGAAAGGAAGCAGGCTCAAGTGACTTCAAACGCACGTGCGATACTTTAAAGGATAAAATGTTTAAGAAAACACAGCTTGGGTTTTTAAAAGGATGTCTGCCATTAGAGACCTTCTAAGCCGTGCTTAGAAGTGAGTGCAGAGTTGCTGCTAAGCACATGTTTGGTCGCTCCCCTAAATCAGACAGACTGTAGCACGATCTAACAAGCTGTACTGACCTGGCTCTGGGAGCAACAGAACCAGGACATGTCTACATTGCTCTGCACGAGGTGACTTTAGGTGTCCTCGGGCCACCCTGAGCAGCCCCGTGCCCGGGAGCCACAGACCAGGCATCACCACACAGGGGTATCATTCACCTTCCAAACCCCAAGATAACTGACATATTTAAGGCTGCACTGCACTGAGGCTAATTACCCTTGCCTATTACTTTGTTTCTCTCAATGGCCTCACAGCGTGCCACACTGCACAGGGCAGACGTGCCCAAAGGCACCCCTTTTTGTGTGTAGGATGATGGAGCAACCCTGGAGCAATGGCCTGTGGGGTCTGGTGGGCTTCACTGGTCCAGCTGCCGCAGCCCATTCTGCAGGCTGCAAAGACACCGAGCAGATTCAGCAAATGCTGGGGATGTTAAAACCTACACGCCGCGTGTTCCATGTAACAGATTCAACCAGGAGAGTGGGAAGAGGGAAGCAGTCCAAAGATTTGTAGCTGCAATTCAGCCTCTTCTGGTTAAAGCTGCTACACCCACAATTTTGCTGTGCATTTTTATTTCCATAGATGCCTAGTTAAAAGCACAAAAAAACTCAGACCCAACCTGTAGAGAAAGTTCCCTTCTCTTGCAAGAAATCAGTGCGCAAATCCTCTTCTCTCACCACGGTCACCATAGCTGTCACTTTGCTTTAGGCATTTGTGATCAGACATATGCTTCAGCCCAGCTGCCAAGAGCTCTTGGACTTATGCTAAGGTTTCATATCACAGTATCAAAACCTGATGTCATGCATTTGCCTAAAAAGTTTTCTTGGAGTCCAGGAAAAGCCTGCAGTTGAAGCTTCTACCTCAGCAGACCTTTTTATAAGCAGGAAGAAGTTAATCTGTGGAGGAGATGAAGTATCCTCAGGAACCAGCAGGAGGCAATGGGTTGGGTTCCTGAAGGTAAATCCAATCAGCAGCCCCATCGGAGACCTCAACCCAGGTGCAAGGCATATTTCTCCAATCTCCTTCTCCAACACCCACACAGCAGTCCATACAACACACACTGAAATCCCTGCCCAGTAAGACCACGTACTGCAAACGTGCTCCCTCAAGGAAACAGCTGAGAGGTGAAATCATAGGGGATGTGTCTGCCATATCCTTTTAACCATTACTAAAAGTTGTTCAAATCCCGCAGTCAAGAAAGGAAAGAGAACTTCTTTACAGTTGGGATGATTATACAAAGAAAATGTTCTACAAAGCTTGTGTTTTTTCTCCATTTAACATCAGTAGGATTGAAAATCCATAGCAAACACACCCTACCGGCTGAAAGTCACACAAATTTTAGTCATTGGCCAAAACTGGTGATTGCCTCCGACATTAAAATTCCCTTGGAATTTTTCATCATTCAGTCTGTACTTCTGGTTGCTGCTGTCATAGTCTGTATTTCTGCTTCTTAATGATCTTTGCTTACTTTGGAAGGCCTAAAAGTTTAAAATGTTGAAACCTCTCTTCTGACTACCACAAATCACAGAAGGCCTGTTCAAAAACTAATTCAAGTGGTCTAATATGAATACATTTACCAGTATAAATACACAGAAAATACAAACATTGTCTGGAATTTCCTTTCTTTAAACAGAAAACACATTAGACAGAACCTTTGGTTACAGACTGTCCCCGGAGGAAGCCCACTAACGAAGCCCTCCACTTGGTATCAGTGAGACCTACTCCTTCAAACAGTTGCATGTTTTCCTGCTGGCGAGCAGATTTTGTCAGGCAGGCTCAGGACTTCAGATGTTTTACAGGCACAAAACTAATGGGCTAGGAGATTATTTCCCCTACTTTCTCCTAGGATAACCCCCTTCCCAAACCAGCAACGAAGAAGTCAGTGCACAACACCAGAAGTGCTTGAACTGAAGATTTCAGAAGCCATCAATACCAACTATTCAAAAGCATTAATCCTACCTACTAAATCATCCTCTGAAAGCTGCAAGTGACTCATGAGTGTAAAGTTCCCCTCCTTCCCTTCCAATTGCTTTCCAGATTGCTGGAATATATGATGGGTTTTAAGCACTTATCTTAAGTGATTTCTTAATCTTCAAACCTCTGTCCCATCGCTGATAACACAGCAGACAAAACAAACTATATGCTATTTCCTCCAGGGCTAACATGGGTGCTGATCTTGTGCTTCATGCACTAATCTCAGCCAGCAAGTTGTCTCATCCAACGTTCCCTTCCTTAATCAGATACATCCTTTTTATAGTATGTGATGAGACTAGGAGACATCAAGCCTATGCATGTGACAACACAGCAAAAGAAAAAGCCACAAAGGCAGAAATTATAAAAAAAACCAAACCCAAAAAGCCTCTAAAGACCGATATTCAGCAAAAACCTGCTGTACAGACCAGGGTGATTTAGATAATCAGCAGCCAGGGAAGGCAGCTAGTTATATTTCAGGACTTCAGCCCAGCATTTTATTTGCAGACAAAATAAAAATGAAAATGGGGAGAGGGGCTGAGCAGTAAGGGTTTCTGAGCCTCCAGCCAGACCTCAAGATGAATAGCAGTGGAGCAAAGTACGTGAAGGCGCTGCACACCAAGTGACGTTCACTGCCAAATAGTTTTTAAAAAAGAGGTTTTAACCTATGTTATCTAGCTTTTAAAAAAAGCATTTAATCATTTAGCTCAGTCAAGTAAAATAGTACAATTGCACAAATTAAAAAAAGTATTAAAAACCCAATTCTGTTCACGTGCCAATTCCCTTTGAACATCTATCTTTAATGTCACTGCATCTAGTTTACATTCCTGAAGGCTGAGAAGCTCTATCATAAGCTACAGCAAATTCTTCACAAGCTTTCAGATGAATACACACTTGCCATTTCTACAAAGGCTTCGCAGAGCTGTAATAAAGAGTGTTCTCACATACTTCAAGAGCAATTTGAGATTAGCCTATGAGATGTGAGACTCAGAACTTAAAATACAGAGACTGTCCCTCAAACAAGACTGACATCTATTCCAAACAACTAATTTTAAAGACAACTTGTAGAATACTTTCTCTTTTTTTTTTTTAGAAAATATGCAAAAACATTTAAGAGAAAGAACAAATACAAGTGCAGCCACTTGGTGTGTCTCTCAATGTAATTGCTTATGTTCAGACCCGCTTTAGGCCAGTTACCTAAGACTTGAGTATAAACTCCAATCTGAATGTGTATGCCAAAGCAGGCAAATTTTCCATGTGGATAAAATCAAAGCATGACAACAAGCTTTTAGTTGTACGGCAGTCGTATACCTGGCAAGTATTTAAAAAGAAGACTGGGGCCCGTTCTTTCAGACATACTAAATTACTAAGAAAATGAAATCTAAACTGATGAACAAATAAGGAAAACCCTGCACTTTGACCACAGTATAAAATATTGACTACTAAAAAACACGAGCCTGCGCTGCACTTTGGGATCTCAATCTTGGATTTCGGTAGAAAGGGCAAAACTAAAGGCTTAAGTGTGAACAGTGGTTATCTTTGCACCTAAAGAAAAGGCCTGAGTTAACTGATGCAGGTAAGTCCAGGAGGGCGAGCAGACCTTAACTGTGTGAAGGCGCCGGGCCCTTGTCCCCCTTAATAAAGCCACATGAAGATGGCAATAGCTGCTGCCAAGCTAAATGCCTGGTGGGAAGCAGGCAGGCAAAGTAGATGTTGCTCAGTTGTCGGGTTTCATACATTTCTCTGGCCGGTCTGCTCCCTTCCAGCTGGACCACTGCTCCCGTCCACTGCAGTCACAGCCGCTGCCGAGAACGAAAGGCAATAAACAGCCTAAATCCAGAACATACACGGATGGCTAACCTTTGTTTGAAACATAAAGGGGGGGGGAACAAAAAAAATCCCTTAAGGAGTGAATAGATGGTTCTGTACGGCTTTTCCAATGGCGGAGGCTCATCGAGTCCTAGTCTGAAAGAAGACTCCAATGGCAGAGATGTGAAAGCTACCAAAGAAAAAAGCCTGAAGAGCTATAATCAAAGTCAAAATGAAAGCAAAAGTTGATGATGTTCGTAAGCAGCTGGGAAGCCCCTTTCTGCTTATGAACGCAGTCAACAGCAATGGAAGTAATTAAAATGCTACGTATTATTTATTTATCCCAAC